ATTAAAACTCATGAAATAAGAGTTTGTTCAAAGAATTATAAACATCGATTATGAATCGCTGCGACAGAGCATTTTAAAGTTTGATATTCCTATGAAGCCTGAGCATGGTGGTTCATTATGTATGAAATGAGTTCTTACACACTGCATCCCTAAATACCTGCAGAGTATTACGTATTTGTGTACTTGTTAAGCAATCAAATATTATAATATTAGAACAATTTATTGTTTCATATTTACGATCAATCAAATTGCATGGACAAGAATATTTCATAACTTTGCTAGAAGTTTTCATACTTCGAGATTGTCCACAACAGTCGAATAATAGACTATTGCCAATTGTTTACCTTATTCAAAAAGATTCAATGTTTGAAGTTAGTTTAATCTTGAAAACTTAGTAACTCATAGATGTCGACACGAAAATGTAATTTTCCCCTGTAACATATTCAGAGGACGGAACTGAGTGAGTCAAAATAAAATAAGGTTGCGCTTCATTCTGTATAATGATGATGAATGAAATAAAACCAGCTAAAGATGTCTGATGGCGTCTCACAAACAGTTTGACTCTGTGAACGTGTCAACGTTTAAATAGTGTACACATCTGGATGGATTGCAAACGCCTTGAGATGATCCAAGAAACCACTTGTGATGTGGCCGATACGAGTATGGTTGATTTGCTGAAAGCACGAGGATCGTTCAGGTTCACGAACTACACACATCCACTTCCGACCACTGCAATATTCACATTTAATGTAGCAGTCATGTAGCATAATAGATGATAGTTTCAGTTCACGTGTCCACACCTTACAATCCAAACGAAACACATTCGTTTGATGAAACCATTGTGAAGATGATCACTCACTCTTAAGAATTGCAAATTAATTCTGCATTTCAAATGGAAATTTTATCACCAACTACATCGTCCACATTGTCCACTCACTACAAATATTTCAGAAGCGAATGAGAAAACTGATGGAGAAGGTAAGTCAATTCATGTTCGCTTTAATAGTCGTGCAGACTGCCTCGATCAACGTTCATAGTGGCACTTGCATTCCAGTGTTCAGAACTAACGACTCCTTCAAGGATCACTATCGAACGTCAACATTCGTTCTCCGTTCATCAAATCGCACTCTGAAATTATTCTCGTCTCCACTTGTTTACATTGGCTTCAATTTGTTGCCTTCGTATATTCAAAGTGAACATGGTTATCTGTTAAACAGTGAGCGATGAAAATCTCACAGTCACAATCGACAGAATTTTCACGATAACGAGCCACGAAATGCGTATTTGCAAATCAGTGGCGGTTGGGTTTTTGAGTTTGGTCTTAACCTGTCGTTATAAATCGATCACATACCTCCATAAAGCGATCATAATATTCTCATGTCTTAATGCAGTATGGTTGTTTTCTTACATTGATATAAACTCAACTCTATTGAAACTCTTTCGTGTCATTTTATGTGAAATGAGAACGACGTCTTTGTTACATTACTCCAGAACATAACAAATTTCATTACTTTCATTGTAACATGTTAACATTTAGGCACTGAGAGCAAACGAAATGTCAATAGTAATACAGGTAGATCTAGAAAATTATTTTTCACAATCTATTAAAACTCATGAAATAAGAGTTTGTTCAAAGAATTATAAACATCGATTATGAATCGCTGCGACAGAGCATTTTAAAGTTTGATATTCCTATGAAGCCTGAGCATGGTGGTTCATTATGTATGAAATGAGTTCTTACACACTGCATCCCTAAATACCTGCAGAGTATTACGTATTTGTGTACTTGTTAAGCAATCAAATATTAGAATATTAGAACAATTTATTGTTTCATATTTACGATCAATCAAATTGCATGGACAAGAATATTTCATAACTTTGCTAGAAGTTTTCATACTTCGAGATTGTCCACAACAGTCGAATAATAGACTATTGCCAATTGTTTACCTTATTCAAAAATATTCAATGTTTGAAGTTAGTTTAATCTTGAAAACTTAGAAACTCATAGATGTCGACACGAAAATGTAATTTTCCCCTGTAACATATTCAGCGGACGGAACTGAGTGAGTCAAAATAAAATAAGGTTGCGCTTCATTCTGTATAATGATGATGAATGAAATAAAACCAGCTAAAGATGTCTGATGGCGTCTCACAAACAGTTTGACTCTGTGAACGTGTCAACGTTTAAATAGTGTACACATCTGGATGGATTGCAAACGCCTTGAGATGATCCAAGAAACCACTTGTGATGTGGCCGATACGAGTATGGTTGATTTGCTGAAAGCACGAGGATCGTTCAGGTCCACGAACTACACACATCCACTTCCGACCACTGCAATATTCACATTTAATGTAGCAGTCATATAGCATAATAGATGATAGTTTCAGTTCACGTGTCCACACCTTACAATCCAAACGAAACACATTCGTTTGATGAAACCATTGTGAAGATGATCACTGACTCTTAAGAATTGCAAATTAATTCTGCATTTCAAATGGAAATTTTATCACCAACTACATCGTCCACATTGTCCACTCACTACAAATATTTCAGAAGTGAATGAGAAAACTGATGGAGAAGGTAAGTCAATTCATGTTCGCTTTAATAGTCGTGCAGACTGCCTCGATCAACGTTCATAGTGGCACTTGCATTCCAGTGTTCAGAACTAACGACTCCTTCAAGGATCACTATCGAACGTCAACATTCGTTCTCCGTTCATCAAATCGCACTCTGAAATTATTCTCGTCTCCACTTGTTTACATTGGCTTCAATTTGTTGCCTTCGTATATTCAAAGTGAACATGGTTATCTGTTAAACAGTGAGCGATGAAAATCTCACAGTCACAATCGACAGAATTTTCACGATAACGAGCCACGAAATGCGTATTTGCAAATCAGTGGCGGTTGGGTTTTTGAGTTTGGTCTTAACCTGTCGTTATAAATCGATCACATACCTCCATAAAGCGATCATAATATTCTCATGTCTTAATGCAGTATGGTTGTTTTCTTACATTGATATAAACTCAACTCTATTGAAACTCTTTCGTGTCATTTTATGTGAAATGAGAACGACGTCTTTGTTACATTACTCCAGAACATAACAAATTTCATTACTTTCATTGTAACATGTTAACATTTAGGCACTGAGAGCAAACGAAATGTCAATAGTAATACAGGTAGATCTAGAAAATTATTTTTCACAATCTATTAAAACTCATGACATAAGAGTTTGTTCAAAGAATTATAAACATCGATTATGAATCGCTGCGACAGAGCATTTTAAAGTTTGATATTCCTATGAAGCCTGAGCATGGTGGTTCATTATGTATGAAATGAGTTCTTACACACTGCATCCCTAAATACCTGCAGAGTATTACGTATTTGTGTACTTGTTAAGCAATCAAATATTATAATATTAGAACAATTTATTGTTTCATATTTACGATCAATCAAATTGCATGGACAAGAATATTTCATAACTTTGCTAGAAGTTTTCATACTTCGAGATTGTCCACAACAGTCGAATAATAGACTATTGCCAATTGTTTACCTTATTCAAAAATATTCAATGTTTGAAGTTAGTTTAATCTTGAAAACTTAGAAACTCATAGATGTCGACACGAAAATGTAATTTTCCCCTGTAACATATTCAGCGGACGGAACTGAGTGAGTCAAAATAAAATAAGGTTGCGCTTCATTCTGTATAATGATGATGAATGAAATAAAACCAGCTAAAGATGTCTGATGGCGTCTCACAAACAGTTTGACTCTGTGAACGTGTCAACGTTTAAATAGTGTACACATCTGGATGGATTGCAAACGCCTTGAGATGATCCAAGAAACCACTTGTGATGTGGCCGATACGAGTATGGTTGATTTGCTGAAAGCACGAGGATCGTTCAGGTCCACGAACTACACACATCCACTTCCGACCACTGCAATATTCACATTTAATGTAGCAGTCATGTAGCATAATAGATGATAGTTTCAGTTCACGTGTCCACACCTTACAATCCAAACGAAACACATTCGTTTGATGAAACCATTGTGAAGATGATCACTCACTCTTAAGAATTGCAAATTAATTCTGCATTTCAAATGGAAATTTTATCACCAACTACATCGTCCACATTGTCCACTCACTACAAATATTTCAGAAGTGAATGAGAAAACTGATGGAGAAGGTAAGTCAATTCATGTTCGCTTTAATAGTCGTGCAGACTGCCTCGATCAACGTTCATAGTGGCACTTGCATTCCAGTGTTCAGAACTAACGACTCCTTCAAGGATCACTATCGAACGTCAACATTCGTTCTCCGTTCATCAAATCGCACTCTGAAATTATTCTCGTCTCCACTTGTTTACATTGGCTTCAATTTGTTGCCTTCGTATATTCAAAGTGAACATGGTTATCTGTTAAACAGTGAGCGATGAAAATCTCACAGTCACAATCGACAGAATTTTCACGATAACGAGCCACGAAATGCGTATTTGCAAATCAGTGGCGGTTGGGTTTTTGAGTTTGGTCTTAACCTGTCGTTATAAATCGATCACATACTTCCATAAAGCGATCATAATATTCTCATGTCTTAATGCAGTATGGTTGTTTTCTTACATTGATATAAACTCAACTCTATTGAAACTCTTTCGTGTCATTTTATGTGAAATGAGAACGACGTCTTTGTTACATTACTCCAGAACATAACAAATTTCATTACTTTCATTGTAACATGTTAACATTTAGACACTGAGAGCAAACGAAATGTCAATAGTAATACAGGTAGATCTAGAAAATTATTTTTCACAATCTATTAAAACTCATGAAATAAGAGTTTGTTCAAAGAATTATAAACATCGATTATGAATCGCTGCGACAGAGCATTTTAAAGTTTGATATTCCTATGAAGCCTGAGCATGGTGGTTCATTATGTATGAAATGAGTTCTTACACACTGCATCCCTAAATACCTGCAGAGTATTACGTATTTGTGTACTTGTTAAGCAATCAAATATTAGAATATTAGAACAATTTATTGTTTCATATTTACGATCAATCAAATTGCATGGACAAGAATATTTCATAACTTTGCTAGAAGTTTTCATACTTCGAGATTGTCCACAACAGTCGAATAATAGACTATTGCCAATTGTTTACCTTATTCAAAAAGATTCAATGTTTGAAGTTAGTTTAATCTTGAAAACTTAGAAACTCATAGATGTCGACAAGAAAATGTAATTTTCCCCTGTAACATATTCAGCGGACGGAACTGAGTGAACCGAAATAAAATAAATATTTCTACAAGCTCAAAATTACGAAACAACATATATGAATTTGACGAAATCAACGAATTCTACAGGATTTCCTCCAATTTCGACATCCAACCATACATAGTAATAATTGCCACATTAACTAACAGAGGGGAACGACACTAAAGTTTCCTGATAGATACGTTACTATGTGATAGAGGTTCTAAATTGAGAATTTATACGTTTTGTGAAATTGTTCCCATTGTTGATAGCACATTCAACGAGTATTGTAAATAGCTTAGATCAGGATTTCGATAGCAAATGCCGTTATGAGCAAAGTCTGCAAATGTATTTAAACTCGTTTCCGTGAGTGTGCAACTATAATAACCGCTAATTATTTTCACATTCAGGTCATTTGTGAAATCAATAACAAGTGAAATCCATGGTCATCCACT